AAGTCCCGGACCCGGTGATTTGAAAAGCACACTAAACACGTGTGCTTGCCCAAAATCCCTAGAGGAGACTTGAGGAGAAGGGATGGAAGTATGGCCATCCACCTGGGGGTGATTTCTCAGTTTTTCTCTGGCAAGTGCATGTGCCCTATAAAAATATTTAAAATAGTAATGGCTATGTCGCTGGACTCCCACGTAGTCGACCGCGGTTCGCGTCCCAGACCCGGTGGCTTAAACTCACGCTGGGCGCGTGTGCGTGCGTGCCCAAGATCCCGAGAGGAGAATGGAGGAGAAGGGATTGCGGCGTGGCCATCCCCCCTGGGGGGTGATTTCTCACTTTCTGTCTCTCTGTCTCTGTCTGTCTGGCGAGCACATGCACCCTATAGCAAAAATCTCTTCAAAAATAAATAAATAAATAAAAGGGAAGTAGAAATAGAATGACCAGGGCCAGCAGGAGGCGTGGTGCTAAGGCATCAGACTCCCACACGGCAGACCACAGTGGCACTCCCGGACCCCTGGGCTTGAAAATCGTGCCGGGAGCGTGTGCGCGTGGGGGTGATTTCTCACTCTCCCCCTCTCTGTCCATCATGCCCTTTGGCGGAAACCTAAAATTTAAACTAGATAAGACAGAATTGCCACCTGACCCAGCGATTGTGCCCCTGGGTATACACTCCGAAGCGCCGACACAGGCCCTCGCGTGCCCACGTTCACGTCCACAGCGTTATTCCTGACACCGCGGTGCCGGGGAAGGGGGAGCGAGACGCACGTCCCCACGGGGCGTGCTCCTGCCCGGGGAAGGACGCGGTGACACGAGCTGCCGTCTCACCGCTCTGAGCACCTGCCTAGTCACGGTCACGGGAGAACGTGGAATGCTCGTTGCTGGGCGGAGGGCAGGGGCAGGGGCAGGGAGGAGAGTGTTTAATGGGCACGGAGATTCTATTCTGCAAGAGTTGTGGAGGAGGATGCTGGTGACAGTCACACGGCAATGTGAATGTACTTGATGTCACTGAGGCTTCTTCTAAAATGACCAAAATGGTCGATTTTATGTTACGCATACTTTCCCTCTAATTTTGCCAGGGGTGAATGTGCTCACCAGGGAGAGACAAAGAGACAGAGAGAGAGGGGGGAACCCCCCCCATGAGGCATGGCCATGCCCCAATCCCTTTTCGTCTCTCCCCCTCTTCAGATTCGGGGCACCTGCGCGTGGACACACACCCAGCATGCTTTCAAGCTGCCGAGTCCAGGATTCGAACCGTGTAGTTGGCCATATGGGATCCAGCTACACTACCTACCAGGCCATAGGCCAGCCTCCTCTTTCATTTTACCACAATTTTTTTCAAAAGTACACCGAGAAGTTAAAGGCATTGTTCTGAGTAGTCCGCAGTGGCCTGCCCCTTGCCATGGAGGGAAGTCACCCGTGAAGTCGTAAAGGGAAGGGGACAAACAGAACCCCAGTGGTGTTCAGCGTGGACCAAGAGCAAGGGGACACTGGTCCCTGTCTCTGTCACTGTGTGCCCGGGAGCTGGTCCACTCTCTGGGCCCTGGAGTCTATGCGAATATTCAGGACAGGTGTGTTTGGTCTCTCTCAGCCCTCCGGGCCTCAGACTCTGGGGAACTCGGAACATCTCGGAGCTGAGAGGAGACTGGCAGGACAGTGGGGGTCCCCAAGGTCTCGCCATCCCCCTCAGGACAGGTCCATTCCTACATGACGCTGGCCTTGGCGGGAAGGCCCCATGCAGGCCCCTGGCATCCTCTCATACACCCTCAGAAAGGGCCAGCTTGGAAAATTCGGGAGCCGCAGGAAGTGCAGGAAGAGCCAAGAAGCGAGAAGACAGGTCCCCCCTTGCAGTGTGTTTTCATTTGGCTTCTTTGTTCCCTGGCTCCTGCCCCTGGCCTGCTCTTCCCTCCTCCAGGAAGCCCTGCTGAGTTCTCCTGCAGAGAGCAAATCCCTCCACCGGCTGCTTCCTATGGCCCTCAGGAGCGGCCTTCCTGGGCTTGCCCTGGGATTCAAATCCAGTCCAGGCCGCTCTGCTGCACTTGCGTTCTGGCTGATGGAAGAAACCTTGCAGGGACACGTTTGGAAGCAAACTGGATGATAAAACAGGGCCTATCCGCCTTCTCCTCGGAGTTCTGGCTCGGGAGGGGTAGCTGTCATCAGGGTACTCCCGCAAGAGGAACACTCTGCTGCTCCACTTGCTCGGGCTGGAGAGCGGCAGGGCACGGTAGGAGGCTGCACTACCGCTTTTGACCACCAGGGGTCAGTGACACAGGGTCGTACTGGGAGCCCGGAGAAGGACCCACTGGCTACAGAATTTGCAGAGCAGGGCAAAAACGCCCAGTGCTTAAGAATTCAAGACGGCAGGGGTAGGGGGTGAAACCAAACACTGGGGCCCCACTAAGCACTGACCCGAGTGCTGCCGCGCTGGCCGCACGTGCGGGAGGAGGATGCTGGTGACAGTCACACGGCAATGTGAATGTACTTGATGTCACTGAGGCTTCTTCTAAAATGACCAAAATGGTCGATTTTATGTTACGCATACTTTCCCTCTAATTTTGCCAGGGGTGAATGTGCTCACCAGGGAGAGACAAAGAGACAGAGAGAGAGGGGGGAACCCCCCCCATGAGGCATGGCCATGCCCCAATCCCTTTTCGTCTCTCCCCCTCTTCAGATTCGGGGCACCTGCGCGTGGACACACACCCAGCATGCTTTCAAGCTGCCGAGTCCAGGATTCGAACCGTGTAGTTGGCCATATGGGATCCAGCTACACTACCTACCAGGCCATAGGCCAGCCTCCTCTTTCATTTTACCACAATTTTTTTCAAAAGTACACCGAGAAGTTAAAGGCATTGTTCTGAGTAGTCCGCAGTGGCCTGCCCCTTGCCATGGAGGGAAGTCACCCGTGAAGTCGTAAAGGGAAGGGGACAAACAGAACCCCAGTGGTGTTCAGCGTGGACCAAGAGCAAGGGGACACTGGTCCCTGTCTCTGTCACTGTGTGCCCGGGAGCTGGTCCACTCTCTGGGCCCTGGAGTCTATGCGAATATTCAGGACAGGTGTGTTTGGTCTCTCTCAGCCCTCCGGGCCTCAGACTCTGGGGAACTCGGAACATCTCGGAGCTGAGAGGAGACTGGCAGGACAGTGGGGGTCCCCAAGGTCTCGCCATCCCCCTCAGGACAGGTCCATTCCTACATGACGCTGGCCTTGGCGGGAAGGCCCCATGCAGGCCCCTGGCATCCTCTCATACACCCTCAGAAAGGGCCAGCTTGGAAAATTCGGGAGCCGCAGGAAGTGCAGGAAGAGCCAAGAAGCGAGAAGACAGGTCCCCCCTTGCAGTGTGTTTTCATTTGGCTTCTTTGTTCCCTGGCTCCTGCCCCTGGCCTGCTCTTCCCTCCTCCAGGAAGCCCTGCTGAGTTCTCCTGCAGAGAGCAAATCCCTCCACCGGCTGCTTCCTATGGCCCTCAGGAGCGGCCTTCCTGGGCTTGCCCTGGGATTCAAATCCAGTCCAGGCCGCTCTGCTGCACTTGCGTTCTGGCTGATGGAAGAAACCTTGCAGGGACACGTTTGGAAGCAAACTGGATGATAAAACAGGGCCTATCCGCCTTCTCCTCGGAGTTCTGGCTCGGGAGGGGTAGCTGTCATCAGGGTACTCCCGCAAGAGGAACACTCTGCTGCTCCACTTGCTCGGGCTGGAGAGCGGCAGGGCACGGTAGGAGGCTGCACTACCGCTTTTGACCACCAGGGGTCAGTGACACAGGGTCGTACTGGGAGCCCGGAGAAGGACCCACTGGCTACAGAATTTGCAGAGCAGGGCAAAAACGCCCAGTGCTTAAGAATTCAAGACGGCAGGGGTAGGGGGTGAAACCAAACACTGGGGCCCCACTAAGCACTGACCCGAGTGCTGCCGCGCTGGCCGCACGTGCGTGGAGTCAGCCGGACCCGGGTCTACGGGTCTTAGTCTGGTTTCAAGCCTCCGCGCACCCCGCCATGGGGAGGGTCCTCCTCCGCCAGGCGGCAGTCAGCTCTCTGCTACCTGCGCGCCCACCCTTCCTTCCTTCCCTTCCAATGTCTTGCCCACTTCACGCACAGTACTTGCGGTGTTTCCGCACAAGACCGCGTGGGTCCCCAACTGTCAGCAGTTTATCTCAGGAGAGGGGAGCCCTTTCAGGAAACAATGAGACAACCCCAGCCCTGCAAATTTAGCTAAAGCTTCTCCTTTGCCTCTGAAAGACCTGGCAACCTCTCGTTTCTACATTCAGAGCAGCCAGCATGGTCCAGGCACCCGGGGAAAGGAGAGGCCTAGCGGTGCCTCCTAAGATCCCGGCCAGTCTGGGGGTGCGGGTGGGAAAGCCCTGGGGCTGGGCACAGCCTGATCGTGCCCTCCCACCCGTGAAGCATGTCTCTCCTGGGGATAAAGCTTGTGGGAGTGACAAGCTACGGGTCACTGGAAAAGTCAGGACACATCTTTGCATAAAAAACAGAAAACGCGTCACGCCTTTTCCGATGGCCCAGTCCATAGGAGGAGGACAGGGCTGCTCTCTGAATTAGGGGCCGCACACCCGGCAAGGAGCTGAGCCCCGCTGAACGCCTGCAGCCACCCAGCCTCCTCTTCAGGCACAGGACGGAAGGCTCGGCAGGGGGCAGGGGCCGTCTAAGCCCGTCCCTCGAGGCCTCTGTGACCTCAGCAGGGCCCTCACGCTGCAGGTATCCCACCTCCCAGCGCCCTGAGAGGGGACGGATGGGCCAGGAGCACTTGGGTCCTGAGGCCGTGGTGGCTTCCCTGAGTCGCATGCTCAGCCCCGGAAGCACGGCCGGGCAGCTCCGGGTGTCCCAGTGCAAAGCCCCCGAGGGGAGTCAGGCCCAGCAGGGCCCCTGGCAGGCACCTGGGAACCACAGCGCTCTGCCTCTGCCGTCGCCGAGGGCGCGGCCGGCCCGGCAAGCGGGCCCTGGGGACCCACGGCGCTCTCCCTCTGCCGTAGCCGAGGGCGCGGCCGGCCCGGCACCTACCCTTCTCTTTGGTACTCTTCGTCCAGGTTCGACAGGAGCTGCGAGCCCGCCGTAGACAGGTCGACCGCCGCCAGAGGCAGGGCCCGGGGGGGCAGCGGCCCCGGGGCAGTGCTCGTGGTCTCCTCATCGACGTGTTGGGAGATGGTCTCGACCTCGGAGAGCCCTCCTTCAATGGCAGGCCTGCGTGGGGCGGGACGACAGGGAGGGTTATGCCCTCGTGGAAAAGAGGGAGGGTGTTCCAGAACCCGGTCGTGAGGGGGAAGGGCCGGCTAGCTGACGCTGCAGTCCTTCCCACTGGCCACCCAAGGACGGGACGAGGCCCAGCCAGCCTCGCCTCCGCCACTGGCGGGGGGAGGGGGGGCGGGGAACTGTCAGGTCTGGAAACAGGAGCCTTGGGACACCCTCTCCCCAGGGCGGTGCAGACCCAGCTGATAAGTGCCAGCCGGCCACACCACGCCCCAGGCTTCTGGGACTCGGCGCGCTGGGCTTCATTTTAGACTTTTCTTTCTTTTTTTTAAGACTTATTTAATTCTGGGAATAGCAGATGGCACAATGGTTATGTTGCTGACCTCCCATGTAGTCAACTATGGTTCGAGTCCCAGATCTGGCAGCTTAAAACTCACACTGGGCGCATGTGCGTGCGTGCCCAGATCCCGAGAGGAGAATGGAGAAGGGATTGTGGCGTGGCCATCCTCCCTGTGGGGTGATTTCCTGCTTTCTGTCTCTCTATCTCTGTCTCTCCAGTGAGCACATATAGGAAAAAAAATAAAACCTCTTTAAAAAATAAATCAATCAAAACAAGGAATTATTTTATTTATTATTATTCAGATTTGCTATAGGGCACATGCACTCACTCACCAGAGAAAGACAGAAAGAGAGAGGAAGAGTAAGGAAGCAAGCCACCAGGTCTGGGACTTGAACCAGGGTCGGCTACATGGGAGTCTAGCACCTGAACTACCACACTGTTTGCTGGCCCCAGGAATAATATATTCTTTGAAATGGTGCCCTGAGTGTCTTCGTAAAGGTCCCCTGAACTGTCCCTTCATCTGTGCCCGAAGAGAGAAAGGCTTTTCCTGGTGGCTGTGGAGCCTACGTGGGAGACTTGGAGAGGCCTGGCGGGCCTTGGGTGGTGAGAGCATGAGGCGTCGGCTGTCCCTGGCTGCCAGCCCCTTCCTGCAGAAACTCATCGCCCCGCGTCCCTTGGTGAGGTGTCACTTGGTCACTCCGTGTCACTGCCGGGCTCCCCTCCCACAGAACGGCCTGCCCTCAACTCCTCCGGCACCGCAGGCTCCGAGGCGGGCAGCACCGCCTCTGGCTCTCACCACCGGGAGATGGTCGGCAGCTTGTGGAGGCATTCTGGGTTGGCACGATGATCACAGTTGTCACTACTGACATTTAAAAAGGGGCAGGGCAGGGCCAGCAGGTGGCATAGTGGCTAAGGCACTGGACTCCCACCTGGATGACTGCGGTTCGAGTCCTAGACCTGGTAGCTTGAAACTCATACCAGACACGCATGCATGCATGCCCAGGAGAACAGAGGAGAAGGGATTGTGGCATGGCATCCCCTCCAAGGGGCAATTTCTCATTTTCGGTCTCTCCGTGTCTCTGTTTTTCCAGTGAGCGCATGTGCCCTATAGCAAAAACAAAACAAGACAAAGAAACCAACTAAAAAAAAAAAAAAAAACTAAAATAAGTAAGAAGGGGCAGGGCAGTCTACACTCTGCAGTGTGACTGACAGCCAAGAACCATCCTGCCTGGACACCGGCAGCACCGCCGAGGGACGCTGGGCTGGGTCGGGTTCTGGAACCTCTCGGGGAGCCATCGTGGGCCCCCCAGCATGTCCTTGACCTACCTCATTCTGCAGCACCTGAGGGCTGGGTCTTCTTTCCCTGGCCAAACCATGAGGGGTGGAAAGGAAGACCAGGTCAACACTGCAGTGCTCTGTGGAGGGAATGGGGCCCACAGCTGACCAGGGTTCGAATCCTGGCCCTGATGGCTTGGAAAGCACACGGGGCGTGTGTGCATGCCAGGATCCTGACAGGAGGGAGAAATGGAGGAGGAGGGACCGTGGCCAGCCACGCCCCTTGGGAGGTGTTTGTGTGTGTGTGTGTGTGTGTGTGTCTGGCCGGTCGGTGCACATGCACTCTGGAAAGGACAGGAGGGAAAGAAAGAGGAGACAGGATGGATGGTGGAGAGTAAAATTAAGCTTTTGAGGGGACACTGGGAGGGGAGCGAGGGGCCAGCTTTAAGGATGAGGCGGCCCCAGACCGCTAGAAACAGCTCTGAGGCACTGCTGCTGGTTCTGGGGGCTCCTCTTGGGCCTCAGTTTGAGGAGGGAAAAGTCCCTAAGGGGCCCCATTTCTTTCTTTCTTTTTAATAATTATTTAATTTTATTTATCCTCATCCTATTTTTTAATTTGCTCACATGCTCACCAGAGAGAGACAGAGAGGGAAAGTGAGAGAGCTAGCCACCAGGTCCGGGACTCGAACTGTGGCCAGCCACGTGGCAGTCCAGCGCTTTAACCACCGTGCCACCTGTTGGTCCTGAGGCTTCCATTTCTTCCCTCTCTGATCTGAGATGGACCAGAGAAATTCAAAGCCAGCTGGAGGCTCTGGATGGGCGAACCCCCATGCAGGTGGGGAGCTCTAAATCCTAAGCCCCCCTTTCCCGGCAGCCATTGGAAAGAGCTACTAGTCCCAGCAAGAGGGAGCTGGAGGTCAGAGCTGCACCCGCCGATTCTCTGCTGCAGGGGCCATCCAGAG